GGGCCATTCCAACACCTTTTCTTTTTTTGGCCAATCTGCTGTAGATTTGCTGCTGCATTTGGGATCATTGTCCTGTTGCATGATCTAATTTAGGCCAAGCTTTAGCTGCAAGTCAGGTGGTATCTGGAATACTTTGGTTTAAAGAGGAATGCACGGTCCATCCAGTGAGTGCAAGTCCAAATCATCACCCCACCACCACCGTGCTGGCAGATGAGGTGTTTGTGCTGAAATTCTGTGACATGTTGGTGTTAGCCGAGCATGGTGCTGTGCACTATGGCTTTACATTTGTTTTGCATGTCCAAAAGGACATTGTTCCAGAAGTCCTTTGATTTGTTCAGATGCACCTTTCAAGCCTAATCTATGCTGCTATGTTCTTTAAATAGAGAGGTGACTCCTGCTTACTCTTTCCAAACAAGACATCAGTTTGGATAGTCTTTTTCTATCTGTACTGTCATAACCTTTAACATTTGACATGCTAACTGAGACCTGTAGAGTTTTACTTTTGTGTTTTTGCAGATTCTCTGAGTATTGCACAGTTTGACTCCTGGGAGGAGTGTGGCATTGAGTTAACACATATCTGAATGCTCCAGACCAGCAAAGTGCCAAAACCTTCCCACCTCCTGACGATCAGTTATTCAAGTGCTATTTACCCTTTTAATTTTACCGGAAACAGTTTTTCCCAGACTCTGGCAAAGGCTTTCTTCTTCACGTCTTTATCTGTCTGTGTAATATAATGTAAGGCTTTGTACCTAAAATTGAAAGGGCAATAAATAGTTTGCCTGGTTCCTTTCAAAGGATTAAACTGCAGTAAATCTAAAACGTATAAACCTACAGTTCATTTTTTAGTTGTATGTGCAGGACTTCAGCACCATTTCTTGATCTGCTATCATTTCACTTTATTATGTGTGTTGGCTTCCTAATTGCTGATTTGCTTAATGTGACCTATATGTTGTCTAAGCGGTAACATGTTGTTGGTGTTGTTTAAACGCACTCCTCTTTTTTCATTCCCATGTTTAAATTATATATAGATGTCAACCATCTTAATTAATAGAAGAAGGACTTTAGTTTTAATATTTAGAGGATTAGGAGTGATACAGAATAATACATAAAGAAATGAGATGGATGCGTCTTGGTGAGCCAGCACTCCTGGACATGCTGTGCTTTCATGATGTCTCAAGTGTCAGTAGACCCAGAGCTGCCAGTACTGGAAAACATCACACTCCAGATATCAGGCAGCAAGGTCTTATATTTGCCAATTCAAATTTTATCTGTGCTAGAAAAGCATCTTACACAACTGTGCCAAAATGGATGAGTTATCGTACGCCGTGTACGGTTTATTATGAGCAAAATGCTGGGTTGATTTTTCTCCCCATAGTGTCAAACCAATCGCTGCCTTTGAATATGCCATCTATAGCTGTATTTAGATTACTTACTCTATATGTTTACATTTGTTAGTATATTTTCTCCTTCAGGGCTTAAAACATCAAAAACTGTTAAAGCTGGGAAGTCATCAATAGGGGTGGGTTTTTATAATCGATTTATCGATTAAAATCGATTCTGGCTTGGATAACGT